GTGCAAAGTGGTGACATATTATGGATCAAGAAAAGTATATACTGTAAATGTTATGCCCTAAGTCCAATCCACTTTGGACATAAACACTTTTAATATATAATCGATGCATTCTATTTATGACAATCTATTGTTTAATTAACATTCAATTTATTTAAATAATATAATCCATAAATTCAAATCTTAGTAATTTGTTAATCACAAGGAACGGTGATTGTGAAATACAAATTACATATGACTGAATATTAAATCATCCATGATAGTAAGTAATAATGAGATACAGATGTCATTAGTACGACGTGTGACATTTCTTACTTGTAATTGTGAAGTAAATAACTAATCTCACCATCTAAAGTTTTGTGGCACTTAAGTAAACATGTCAATGTTTTGTTAAATTGGAGATCCGGTGGAGAGATTCAATATAGATAACTATCTAAGTGTTATTGGTTAATATCTAACATTCGGTAGTGAAATTAGCCTTTTGATTTGAGGTTATTATAGTGCCTTATATGTAGACAGTCATATTTTGGTGATGTTGGATGTTACTTTTCCAAGAGTCACTAATACGTTGACATCGTTTGGGTACGTCAAGAATAACATGAAAGTTGTCGTTAGAATTTGAATGTGACCCGAATTTATTGTTGAACTAATTGAGGAATTCTAATTGAAATACACGTCAAGAAGAATTCAGTTTGAAATGTTATTAGAGTCCTATGTTAAGTTGAAGTTCTATTTTGGAAGCTCATTGGGAGTTGTAATTTGTTTTGGACTCATTTTTTGGTATCCTACTTCATGAACAACTTTATTAGGAGAATTTTGACATCCCCTACATGTTCCTTATAAATATTAGATTCTTCTATACGATTTCATAAGTGTGAGAAAAGAGATTATTAAAACATTAGGATCAATTATATATTTCTTCATTATTATTGGTATAATAAAATCTCCTAATTTTTCTGTCATATTTTATTGTTTTCTTTATTATTCTTTTGCTTGTAATCAAATATTTCATTATTGTACCATATAATTTTAACATTTTAATCCGGTGATTGGTTTTATATCAAGTGGTATCGAGCGATACGTGATATCCTTGAATTCCCAATAATTGGTATCAGAGATTCTAGGCATGATTAACACAACAAGTGATATCAAAGTCTAAGTTCAGCAGTTCCGCAAGAGAGAGAGAGCTTGCTTTTGAATTTCGATAGTTGGGGATGTTCCCTGAAAAGTTCCCTAAAATTGAGTTGGTTGCGTAGGTAGGGATGGCATTGGATGGTTGAGGATATAATATATACCAATTGTATATATGTATAAATTATAA